GTTCACTGCAATGCTTGGCAGCAGGCATGCGATACCGGCATTGCAATATGGTTTATTTTGAACTGCTATGGAAAACATAACCTGCTAAGGTGCAATTTTTCATAAAATATGAGGTTTTGGAGAAAGAGTTGTTATACGCATTGATATACCCAATTTCTGGTACAACAAAGTACCAAATTTCTCAAGTTTGTAGTACTGATGCGAGCGTATATTTACACAGCTGGTTTCCATTATGAGACCTTGAATGCCGTTGTTTCGACGAAAAGCCATTTCTCATGGGTCATGATAATTGCAAAAATGCGTTGGGACACCCGGTTTATCAGCTATAGTCCCAAGAAAACCTTCTGATTCCAAAAAAAGGATTGAATGCATAAAACCGGCATTAGGACAAAGACGAGAAGGTTTTCAATTTCAATGATCAAACGCCTGTTCACGCTCCACCTATTTCATCAATAGAAACATGCACTTATATCTCAATTATGCAAAAGTTAGAACGATATCACTAGCGATTCTGGCGCTATGATCAGCATTCTTAAAATCCCTAATAAAAGAAGAAGCTCCAACTGTTAAAAAGCGAGTCTCCCACCAAATAACTGTTGAAGGTCTTTTCGTCTAATCTGCAGTTGAACGCTCGTCTATCCTTTTTGGCAACTCATTGATAGTACCAATTATATAACTAACAAATAATACTCATATAAGATTTCTGTTTAGTGCTAAGCAAATTCTCCATCTAGGCTCATGACTATATCCCAAGAAAATTCTTTTTTAGAGTCAATCTTTAACAAAGCTCTCACTTTAACAAAATTTAATTTGGCCTACTACGAATAAAATTATTCTGTGAGACCAACTTTACAAACTTCATGAATTGACAGAAAATACTCAACAGGCGCTTAGCTTCATGCGACTTTACCTCTGTTATTAAAGAAACAAGATCAGTTCAAAATTTTCTGGATCACGACATCATGCTAGAGAATGCTACTCATCATATTATTGAAGAAATTGGCTGCGCGTCTGTTCGTAAAGAAACAGGAATCAAGAAAGTAGCTGTTTCTACAGATAAAAATAAACGCGTTCAGTAATTTTTAGTAATCACAGCTGATAAGTAGAACATGTTCTGACTGAATATACTACTGCCGTGAGACAAGACGTAATTGTCAATACTTCAACATTTTCGGCAGAAAAGCATTTTTAGCTTAGGAGGAACATGGAAGAGTGAAAGAATTCAATTAATGAAGCAACATATAGTGAGGCGCTGAAAAAATACCATGACTGACAGTGAGAAGAATGGAGTTTACGTTTG